CAAATACTAATAGTTTTGGTAGAGAAGATCGGACAGATTTCGCCAAGGCAAGCTGGGCAGTCGCCTATTGCTCCTATTCCAGATAACCCACTGTACCCTGTCTGAAAGGAAGTAACGCTAGAGTAGACTCGCGAAAAGTGTATAAGACACTTTTAAGATCAACTAAATAGCTAAGCCCAAGGGAAGTCGTTCGGGGAGGCCCTCCCTAATTCCACAAGGGTGAGAAGAAACACACACGATAACGAAACGTTGAATCATGTAGAACTCGTAGGGTAAATGCAAAGCAAAATAGGAAGAATATGCAGTAAGCTAAGCGAAGAGGTAAGCAAGGTTAGACTATACTACAACTACTAAACGTGTTATTTCTACTACTACACTACTAAATAAAAAAAAAATAAAAACATCTACAATCAACAATTACTTCAAATAAAATGAACAAAAACAAGCATGCAAAATAAAAATTAATTTAAAAAACAAATAAACTACAAAAATACATGCAAAATAAAAAACTAATTTGAATAAAATGAACTTGATGACTTCTACTACATAAAGCATGCAAGATAGAGAACTATTTTAACTATGGGGTCATCTTTGTCTTCTCCAACGTCGATCTGCAACAGATACGGTGGTAACAGATTAATAAAGAGCAATTGAAATTAATTATATCAAGCATTCTCACCTTCGTTAACTGTAAACTGTAACGTTCCAAAGTTTGCAGGTGTGGAAAGCAAACCAAATCCAAGAGGAATACAATGGCAGAAAATCTGTCGTTTCAGTAGAGTTCACATAAATCTCCAGTTGCTCTCACTCATCCGTTGAGAATTAACTGCATAATGTTGCAAGGTGGAGGCGAAAACAGCACATCAAGAATATGGTTCACAAAAGACCACACCCATATGGACATTGCTTTTTTTCAGTACGACCAAACTGAACATTCTCATTTGTTGCACAATCTGTAAAATTTGATAAAAAAAATATTAATTACACTACTAATGCAGGAAGGGATTAATAAACACATCTAAAAACACGCACCAAAAATCAAGCAATATGACAAATGTGAAATAATCATAGATATCGTCAATTTATGCTGTAAACTACAGATAATTGCTAAAACAAATAATCATACATGCAACCTAACTTCAAATTATGCCATGAACAATAGAAAATACTTAGAAGCAAAATCATAGATACACGTCAATTTATATTGTGTATAATAGATAACTATTAATGAAAAACCACAGATGCTAGAGACGACAAATTACTATGAACATCGAGTAACCAACAAAAACCAAATAAACAGTAAAACAATTGCTTACCGAGAGGTTTACTGAACGGTGCTCGAGTTTTATTCCCAAGTTGACAACAAAGAAGTGAAGATGCTTAAGAAAGGAAAACTAATACCACTGATGGTGAAATAAGCCACATAGCAGGAAGATAGAATATCGCACTGCAACCATATATACATCAGTGTAAATCGAACTGCATGTACATTTACATCCAAGGGGAGGGAGCTTTAAAAGGCTCCACTTCTGCAGGTTTCGAATCCTTACTTTTTGCCTTCTTGTTCATTTAATATGTTTAAATGAATTCCTGTTGAAACAATTTAATGTTAGTTTCATCTCACATATTATGTTTCACAATATTAAGAACTGCAACTTTCACCAATCAAATAATAGACTACTATCAAACTCAATTACCTATTACAATTTAGAAGAGAAAATAATTACACTGTATTGTTGCCAAACAAATGGAATATAGGGTTTGGAAAATTACAAACAATTTTATAAATGCAGTTTCATAAAGTAATTAAACATTTCTTACTCTTTCTAGAAATGATCCTTTTCAAAGTCCAAGAGAAAGAAGCGTGATTGGGGCTCTGCTTCTCTACATTTCGAAACCTTCTCATTTTTAGTGTTCGTGTTCATTTAATACGTGTAAATGATAACCTGTTGAAACAATGTAATGTTACTATAACATTCACCGATCAAATAATAAATTATTCAACTCAATATGCAATATGGGGTTTGGAAAATCACAAACTATTTCCTAAATACAACATAAAATAATTAGGGATTTCTTAACCTTTACAAGTTCAAGAGAAAATGTTAGTGGGGCTCAGCTTCTCCTTATTTCCAGCCCCTTTCGATTTGGTTTGAGATTATGTTTTAATGAAAAACTGTTTTAACAATGTAATATAAGTCATAAGTTCGCTAGATTTGTTATTACTTTATTATTAATGATAATCACCATTGTTAATATCCTATGTCCTATGACTTTTTCAACCAACTCTTTGGAAGCATCCTTGGAAATAATGTCTCAGTCCAATGTAATGATGTTATTCACAGGAAGCCTGTATTAAAAAAAAAGTAAGTCTTAAAACTCAATCTATATAATAAAAAGGCAAAATTACTAATCTTCCTAACAGAAATTTAGACTTTTAAAGGCAGAATGTTTCTGAGAAAAAGTTTACTATAAATCTATGACAATAATTCACATCAATAAGAAAAATCTACCATCATCGTCTAAACTTGTTTTCAAAATTCAAAAATTCTAACAAAACCATAATTATTCAATCACAAATAAACTAAGGATCTATAAAAATTCACAGTATATAGGTGGACAGACAAGATGCCAAAATGTCCCATGTTGTAGCATTAAACCAACACGTCCCCGAAGTCATGTACACCAGTATAAATCTAAGCATGGATAATTGAAACCCATCAATTATTAAATAGGAACGTATTTCACACAATCACATTAAAATCGAATGATGATGAAGGCTACACCCTTAAGGCGTCATCTCCATTTCTAGACAGAAAAGATGGCGTTTCGGTGTAAAAGACGTTGTCGTATCACAGTAATGAACAGTGCACGGTTTCAGGCTTGCGACTTGCCTTGGATTTGCGATAGCTACAGCATGAAGCAGTGATGACGCATAAAATCCTACTCAGAAGCATCATTTTAGATTTCTGCGACGATTCGCGGCAAATTTTTCATAATTAACCAATAGTGTAGGTACTTTTATCCCCGTTTTATAAACTTGAACTTATGCCATGTTTTGCTTGGTCTGATCATCCACTCCAAAAATTATTAAATACAAGAGCGAGAAAGATGGTAGGAAACTTGAAAACACTAGAAATGAAGACAATACGTTTTTTCTCTTCCAGTTTGAATTATGTTCTCGAATATAATTTATTCAAGGATGATTACAAAGACGACGTATAGATATGATGAAACAAATTAATCGATAAACTAAATCTCTAATTATATATAAAAGAAATTATGAGCGCTGTCAGCACAGGGCAAAGTAGTATTACGATAATGAAAGTTAGTAATTTCAGCAATTGCTTATGTTGAAGTGTACGATGTGTTCCACACATATTTACAAACAATTCCTTTAAATTTAACCTTTGATTACTATACATCTATGAAAAAACCATAATGGACGACATCAATGACAATGCGACAATTGAAAAAGAATGATGGCTGACAACTGCAACAATTA